GGCTCCCGGCTTGAAGCTCCAGCACACGCTGCCTCCCTCCCAGGGATGAGGGTTTTGTAGCCTGGGTAGGAGGAAGGTGCTGGGGTGGGTAGCCCCAGTGCAGAGCACAGCCCCCTTTCCCAGCTGCACGCTACATAAGGCTTCACTAATCATTCAGTTTTCATTAACTTGTCAAATTAGGAAATTGAGAGCTGTCAAAGTGTACGGAAGATTGGAGGTGGCTTTTATAGCAAGCTGTGGGATCTCCCACTGTTTGTCTAATCTAATTTCCTCACCGTCGTTGTCCTAAGAGAATCATTACAAGAGAGGGAGAGGTAGAAAGATGAAGACATGAACGGTTTCCAGTCAGAAGCATCTCCCTTCCACATGTGGCTGCAGACGAGAGGGCTTCTGTAAGCTGCTTGGGACCAATAATTTTCCTCTGTCACACTTGTTTAAGTTGTTTTAAGACAACTCTTAAGCTTCATCCCCCTCTAAGTCAATCCTGCTGGAGGAAGAATATAAGAAGTGATTTCTGTACTCCCCTCAACTGGCAAAGCAGTGACTGAGCCCCTTCCAACCCACAGAGCTTTTGTGTTTCTTGCTCTGAAGTATTAAGTTAGTTAATTCCTACTGGGGAGAGTGTGCCAACCTGTCCTGGATGTGCCACACTAAAATAAAAGCACACAGAAGATCGAGTAAAGCCTGTTACAAGAAATGGCTTTAAACTGAAGACCTCTTGATGTGCTCCTCTACAGCAATCAAGCAGCACTGCTTGATTTTTTTGATTTTACTACGTAAAAGCACCTTCTCCTCTACTTGCTCTTTCTTCAACACTGCTCTCCAAACAAAACTCCACAAGCATCTCCACAGCGCAAATAAGTCATAGACCCAAAAAATTTCAAATAAATAATTCTGGTACATCTCTCATTTCCAGGACCCCTTTGCAAAGGCAGTTAAGAACGAACAACAGGACAGAGTGAGCAAACCCAGCAGAGAGAGGTCTTAAAGCACAGCTCATTTCCATGCATGTGAATGGTCTAAGTGCCTGGTGAAGAAACCCCATGTGCTTACTGCCACCTCTCCAGCACGTATAGCTATCAGAGGAGGGAGATGCTCTTCTGTGTGGAGTAACCATGGTGGAAATCCTCCTCCCTGCAGAGAAGGGCTGTGCAAAGGCACGTACGGCTGAGCCGGCAGCCCCAGCACTGCTGCTGCTGTGGGAGGGCAAAGGGTTTATTCTTGAGGTGGCAAACACACCTTTCTCTGGTGCTGCCTTCTTAAAAGCCAGCCCTGGAGGAGTCTTCTGAAAAAGCTACAAGTGGGACATCTCAAGCACTTGCAGCTGAGATGAAGCCCTAGAGGAACCAGCTGCTGCTGCAGCGGCAGAGAACAAGCTGTCCAATGACAGCAGCAAACCCATCTAAAGGCAGAGTCAATACCGTCTTTGTTGGAGAATGAATGGTTAAAACCATACCAGCAACTGGTTGGGGATAGGCTTTTGAGGCAAAGCTGCCATTCCTTGCCTGCTAATTGTTATGTTTTCCAAAGATTTCATCAACTAAGTTGTGTTCAGCAAGCTGCTGTTTAATTACCAGAGTAGAATCCTGTTAATTAGCCAGCCCCAAAAGGCAGCCCTTCATCCCTGTTAAGTGAAATTCCCAACTAATCCCTCCAGCAGCAGTTGTGCTGCAGCCTGGGGAGCCACCGAGAGGTATTAGAGATGCCCTCAAAATTGGGGGGAACAACTAGAGCTCAGCCCCACCTGCTGCCAACAGCCATCTTCAGCCCTGGGAAAGTATAACCCAGCACAAGAAGCATAACACTCCAAGTAAAAAGCTATTAAATCCTCTGCTGTCCCTTCTGGATCCAATTGCCCCTGCAGCTTCAGCCATAGCCCAGCCAGCATCTCCTCTGCCCCAGGGGCTGGTGCTCGGGTTACATCCCCCCACCATGTAGCATCCAAGCTCTCCCAAGGAAGATGCTGTGAGCACCTTTTACAAGGTGCTGTGAACATTTCTAAAGCCAACCAGAGCTCTTTTCCCCACCTCTCATCTCACCTGGCTTCCCAGGACAGAGGACAAGCCCTGTGCAACAGCAGCTTCCCATGCAGCAAGAAATGGGTGGCAGGACAGGTAAATCAAGGACATGAAGTTCCTAAAAAAAAATAAAAATAATAAGACCAATAAGTGTTTCAGCTACATGAAAGCTTTAGTTGGCCTGCCACATCAGAAACACCAGATGAACCCCTAAGGCTTGTCCCAGCATGGGCAGGTATCAGCCAGGGCTCATTATCACCCCAAGAGGAAAGCAGGTTTCTTGAATTCAGCTAATGCAGCAATTTCGAGTTTCTTTACTGTATGTCCCCATGGAAGTTAGATGTTTGAATTTTATACTGAAATGCCAGCAGAAATTCATTTTGATAGGAAGCTGTAGGCTCTTCTTCAATATCCATTTAAACAATTTAGATGTTTTTGAAGCAGTATGGGGGAGTTCGTTTAATCAAGTACAATAAAGCAGAGCTCCAGGTAAAAGTAATAAATAGTTAAAAGACTACAAGAAACTCCACCTGTTCAACATCATTTGGTATAAATACATCTGTGCTATGGGGATCAATAGGGAAGTCCATTCAAAAATTCAACAACGTCTTTAAATTAATGCTTGCAAAATTCCAATATGCAATTTGTCATGTTCCTGTAAACTTGTGTTACTCATTTTGATTCAAGCCCAGTTTTGCATTGTGGCATACAATACACTGAATTTTAGTCAGAAGTAATTCAACCTAGATTCTGAGTAATAATAAGTATCATCAGAACTAAGCCATAGAGATAAAACACCCCTGATTTTATAGACCAGGGATTTAGAACAATGAAAAATTGTCAACAGTTCACAACACGGACTCTGGTAGTCAACGTGCAGTCACGCTATCCTATGGCCAGGATAAAATCTCTCTCAATCTCTATCCAATGTTCAAGCAGAGAGGTCTGTAATATGTGAGTGCCATGCAAGACAACTACACTAAAATTATTTCTTTCAGTAAGATGAATAAAGTAATACTTTAAATTAACAAGTTCCATCGGCATCACCAGATTGGTCACTTCTGCTAACAGATCGGACCCTACTGGAGTCAATGTCTGTGCTCAAAACAAACCTGGAGGACAGGTGAGAGGCTCTGGCTTCTTCCCAGAAGTATAAATAAGCAGAGGGTATGTGATTAATTCTCCATTAGTATTCCACTCACGTTTCCTCCAGAGATAAGAAAGTATTCCAAGTGGGAAACCTCGGCTCATCAAGCCATTGATTTATCGAAGTTTTCTACCCTTTACTTCTCCAAAGTCACTTTTTGACTCCATCACGCTGGGCTGGAGTCTGTTTATACATGACATCTGCAAACATCAGCTAGCATGACGGGGTAGCGGTTTAATAACAACAATAGCAAAAAAAAAAGTTTAAAAATATTTTTTGTCTACGAATGACAGAGATAGTTCCTAAGAGAATAAGTTTTGCTGAAAAAAATCACAGGTTTAAAAAAGCAGGACCAGTAACTTTTAACCTCAGAAAGCTATTATAGAAGAAAGACATTTGGATTTTAGAAAATCTGTTTAATTAATAACACTTATTAACTGTGCAGTTTAAATTCATAAATACAGAGAAAGTTGTAAAAAAAATCCCACCAAAACAAAAAAAAACCAATAAAAACCCAAATCAAACAACCAAACATCAAACGTGCAACCCTTATTTTAAAAATTATTTTATTTTAATGGCTGCCTCTTAATATACTAAAGATGTGGACATCAGTGCAACTTGAACAGTTTCCAAACAAACACCTCTTGACAATGAAGCAATGCTCAGTGGAGCGTATGTTCATCCTCACCTTGTAGCTTCTCCTTGTAAAAGGAACATCCATCTTTGGTAGTATATTAAAACAAACCAACACCTCGAAGAATTACTACAGACATTTAAAGATTAACATTGTTTATATTAATAACTGCTTGTATTCATATTCACACTGCAACACAAAAATAAATTGCTTTTCTGTATTTTTATTTTTAACAAAAAGGTCACTTAATTCATGATGCCTTGAAACTACAAAAGATGGGATCTGTTCCTCTGCACTGAGCTCAGCAGCAATTCTGATACTGACCTCTGTGGGTGCAGCCATGGGCTGAAAATACTCACAGAAGTGTGAGGGGTGGATCCAGTTCATCTAATGCATTAGAAATGATTTGTGACACTTCTTCATGAACGTATAGAAAAATACCATAAGAAACCATACAATGTAAAAACATTAAAAAACACCCATCCCATCCCCTCTTCAATGAGACGTGTGGAGTTTGTGGGGTTTCTTCATTCTAGTCTGAACAAGGGCTCCTTTGAAATCACTTTAATTAAAGCATTTGTTAATGTCATCCCACAGAGGGTTAGTCCCAATATAAACGTGTTCTCTTTTGTCACTTGTTTAGTGAACACTTTACTACTTACTTTTACAGTCTGTGCGCCATTGTCAGTGCAAGAGCAGATTACATTGAGTATTAGAATAAATGCAGTGCAGTTTCTTTTTCTCTCTTGGGACAAAAACTGGAGTAAAAAAAATCTTAACATGATAGGAATGTTTTAAAATGAAACTCAAAACCACATTTCACCAAGTCAGTATTCCTCCATGTACAGCACATCTAGGAAAAGCTGCACACCATCATTGTGCACGTCTGCGTTTAAGTACAGTACAGAAGAAATAAAAGCCTGTTACCTTGATAAAATAGGAACAAATATAATCCAATTTAAAATAAAAAAGGACAAAGTATTTTTTTTAAGAAACAAAGAATAATAATAAAAAGAAACCCCAAACTAGAAGCAATGAATTGCATGCTTAGTGGTCAAGGCAGCTCTTTTTCCTCATTTTCCCAGTTTGATCCGTTAGAAATTCAAAACGGGCCAACATGTGCAGTGCTTCTGTAGGGCTTCCAGCCACCCTCCTTGTCCTGGCCACCTCAAAACACCAAACACCAATGAACGAGCTGCTCTTAATGTTTTCCCCGTCGGCCTTCAAAAGCATGATGCTCTCTGTGTGCTGAGGAAGAGAGAAGGAAAAAAAGAACATGTTAATTCTGTCAAGGAGTTGAAAAGACTACAAGAGAGAAGACAACGTATAAAGCAGTCAACGAAGACACGATATGCCGATAAGTGATCTGTGGAAACCCACTATTCTGATAATACAGTTACACCTGAAAATAAGAGATCCTAAGCGTAAGACATCCCATAAAATCCAGATTGTACGTGTTTCCTTTAAATGAATACTTAAATTGAACAGCATATAGTCTTGAGAGTTACCAAGAGACTTGTCTCACTCAATTTATGAATCAGGCATACTGAACATGAAACCAAACATGTTCTAAAATTAACGTGAAAATATCTCTTGTTTCTCAGTGGCAGCCAGCTTTTACACTGAAGGGCCGTAACTGTAATGCAACGAGGGATGTTACATTTCCAAACGGTTAATGATGAATCAGGCAGGACACTCCCACAGAAATACCCTACCAGCATCTTGTTTCTTGTGGCCGTTAACATTAAAAATACTCACATTTATAAAACACCACTTTAAAGGCTGTGTGTGGCAGAAGTTTATGTATCTTGTCTAAAACTTTTGCTTCACTTGCTGAGGAGGCATTCAGGTTCCAGACTTGCACAACATCTTCGCGGTCACGAACACTGACGCTTACCCCGATTACTTCATCATCTGCACAGAAGAGGAAGCATCACTAAGGAATGATTTAAAAGCGAGACATGTCTAATTTGATACTTACGTATTATGAAACGGTGCCCAAAAGATGAACAAACTGAAGAAATTACAAAAAGCAATCTCCAGTGAGGAGAATACTGATGTTCAAACCAGACAAAATAGTTACCAGAAAGAAACAAACACAGTATTTATAGAAACTATTGGAAATATTACCTCATAGTGGTTTTAATAAAGTGCCATGAGACTATTCATCTTTCTATTCGCACTCTTATTCTCGATTAAGAGAGAATCACAAGACTCCATTAAGGTTAGCAATATAACCTACTAGTGATAATTCTCCTATGGTAACACCTATAAGCAGAAGTGGGGGAGTGAGGGTGAAACAACTAAAACCTCAGGAACAGTATCTGGTGGAGATCAGACACCAACTTTTCCAGACTTTTTTCTCTTTTTCCTTTACATGTTGTCAAGGCAGCAACACGGAAGGAAGAAGGGAAAAAAAAGAGAAAAGAAAAAAAAAAAGAAAAAAGCCCCAGTCATGCTGCTGCCAGTGTTGGTAACTCCAAGCTTTGCCAAAGAAGCTCTTTTTGGTGCGAAATTCTCAGGTGCAGCTTTGCTGAGAGGTCAGGCTGAGGCTGTGCCGCAGCGGCTGCCTCCAGCACTGCTCTCCCACACAAAACGTGCAACCTTGCAACATGGGAGCTTCTGCATGATTAATGCCTGTTTTCCAGTAAACCAGTGAAGTATTTTTTTAAATATCTATATAAACTCAATTACACTAGAGATCACTTTGACCTAAGCAGTACTTTTAAGCTATAATGAAAATATTGCCCCTGGCTAGAGTGTTAACCTGGGATTCTGGAGAGCCAGGATTGTGATATGGCCCTGCCAGGAGAACCAAAAGGGACTGCGAGGGCTAAGAGGGGGGCATCCATCTAATCGAGCTGCTTCCAACAGTGACAGTACAAACAAATCTAGTTCAGAAGTGTCATTTGGGTTTCCAGAGTCCTGGTACTGCAGAATCAATATTAACATTCATATGCTGCCTAACAGATATTTAATAACTAGAAAGCCTTCCAAGGGATGCAAGATGTTGAGCTCGAGTCCTGTTCTTAGTCCTCCTCTTAATCACAACAGTGGTGAAGATGACTCCCAGCCCCATATTCCATTTTGAGCAGCATTTCTGTGTTCTGTATTCAAACCCAACTGGTCATGCTAGCCTGAATCATTTTTACATTACCTGCTGCACAACAATCTGTAAACTGCTCTCCAATAGTTGCTAACAGGAGCTCTTTCCAAACTGCAGCCTAAGGAGAGAAAGAAAGAAAAAAAATTAGATTTGCATTATTATTTTTAAATTTAAAAATTAAGTTTGTTCACTGATTTTTTTTGGTGCATTCTCTTTCTGACATTGATTAAACGGAAAAAAAAAAGAGTGTTTGTTGTAAATACATGCTGATTTATATAATTAATTTCCTCAATCCAATTGGAGCAAGAATTTAGACCCTGAAAACACACAGTTACACAGAACTGTTCTAATAAATATTTTAAATATTTAACAATAAGGTTACCTTCACTCTGTCTCCACGACTCATTCTAAACGCATTAGTTAATGTAAAGCCTGAAAGAAGATTTCTCTCAGGAATTGCCCATGATAAAAGGCCATAAGGCTCTACTTCTGTCCGTTTGTTTCCACGGAAGAGAATTACTAACCACTTCAAGAAAAGTAACTGAAAACCCTACCAGTAAACTAACTTGATTTATATTTAAACATGGTCTTGAATTTGCCTTGACTATGAAATAAGTCCATCTTTCAATAAACTCAAACGCTCCCTAGAGAATTAAAACAGGGGAAAAGCTATCTGGCACTTTTCTTTTGCTGTTTGACAAATTACATTGTTTTTTTGCTTTTGACACTTGCTATCACCTAAGACAAATCCCACAAAAAAACTTCCAGTGTGTCTGGACCAATGTAATGCTCCAAGATGCAGTTTTACAGAGACACAATATTTTATGTATTTAATGAAAGAACACATCAAGGTGAACATCTGTCTATATCACCATGGACGAGGGGTAATGGTTTTAAATTATGAGAGGGCAGATTCACCCTAGATGTAAGGAAGAATTTTTTTTTTTTTACAATAAGGATAGTGAAACACTGGCACAGGTTGCTCAGAGAGGTGGTGGTGTCATCCGGGGTCAGGTTGGCCAGGGCTCTGAGCAACCTGACCTAGTTGAAGATGTCCCTGCTCACTGCAGCGCATTGGACTAGATGACCTTCCAACCCAAACTATTGTATGATACTTTTAAGCAACACCATTTCTGCTGTATGAAGTTAGCTTGAGCTTTAGTACTATAAAAAAACCACAACTTATCGAATGCACAGGTTAAAACAAAAAGCAAGCAGCCACAAAGACGACAAACTAATAAACTGCTTTAATGGCGGTTTACAAGTGCTCCTAAGCCATCTGCTAGAACACAAAGGATTTCTGTGGCTCATTATGATCTAATCCAAAGCATCATATAAAGCTGTGCCATGGGAAAGCCCGTCTGACGTGATGGCTCCCGAGGCATCATCGTGACAGCCTCTGCCACGGTGCCTTTTTGCCTGCCGGTGGAACAGCTCCGAGACGAACAGGACTGATCACACACGCTCCCATTCCCGGGCACAGGGCTCCCTGCTGTGAGCTGTCCTAACAGTCTCAAGGGTAGGAAGCACTTCATCCAGTTGCAGGATCTAAAAAGTATTAGTTTCATACTAAAAAAGAGATAAGAAAAAAAATTGGTATACATATACACCGCTGTACACATACAGCATCATTGAAGTGTCAGTATCTTGCACTCATCACCTAAAAAAAGACTGGTATCTTGAGGAAAAAACACCCCTACATTTTCCTCCCTCCACACCCTCACCAAGAGCTGCTACAGCACATCTTTTGAGTTAAGTCTGTATGAGATGGTTCATCTCAGCTAAGGAGAAGCTGTGTGTGCATGTGATGAAGAATGATGCCAAAGAGATGAGAAACAGGCATAAAGGTATTATTTATGCTATTTACAGAGGCACAAAAACCTGAACATAGTTCACCTTCAATTAAACCTTTTAGAAGTGACCTGAGACATGTGGCACGTAGTTTGAGAGATCAGAAAGTATCCTCAAAGCAAAAAAGAGGCCATCATTCAGCCTCTGAAAAGCCAGGCTTCTGAAGTCCCCAAATTCACCACCTGGTAATGCAAGCTCCCCAAATCACTTGTCACTTCTGACAACCTTCACGCCTTGGATCGTAAGAGGAAAAGGAAAATTTCAGTCTTTTGTGATCCCTTGGGACTGCAGGGGAGGAAAGCTGCAACTCACATACAGGGAAAAAAACCCCACCGGCAATAATCGATTAACTTTTGGCTGAAAATTCAAGCACCATCTTTCAGCATTTAGTGCCTTCTGTAAGGCTGCCACATTTTTCTGACACTTTGCTTTTCATGTTTAATAGGCCTGACCCAGAACACACTTACACGCATGAACACCACATGCGAGGAGGTCAGATCTCCTCACCGTGACAGTTCACAGCAGAAGCTACTCACATACTCACATGCGTTTGATTAGGGGCACAAAGAGAAATTCAGTTGTTTCAGCAGGGCTAGAGCAACGACATGCCTGAACGGATTTCATCTTTCACATTTTAAAACAAAAGGGAAAATAAAAACCAAGGCAAAAATACTGAGCAGCACTACAGCTTCATCAGACGTACACAACGTAATCCAACAACTCACCGTTGCTAAAACGGATGATCGCACTCTTTACCCCCCAAAACCGCTCCTGACTATACACTCAAATTATAAACATCTTTTTTTCTTGTGAGCTATTGAGCAAACCATGAGATGGGATTAATTATTGGTGGAAACAACACCTTGGTCCACATTAGGCTGCAGAAAGTCACGGCACAAATCACGGGTGCAAACAAGCAGTGCCAGGCAGAAGTGGTCCTACGGAGTTTGCAAAGAGTTTAGGAGCGTTTCAGTGAAACTCTGGAAGTTGTGCTGGACTGTGTGTGTGGATTTTTGAGGAGCATTACTGAGGTTCTGGCTATAATTTAGCATATACTACTATCAGGAAAATATTTTTGGTGTGTTTTTTTTTTGCGTGCCTGTAAGCAAAGTCTCGAGAACAAAGGTGATTATAGAACACGGTGTTTCCACATGGACATGGAGATAACACCACAGCTTTCATTTGCTTGGTAATATACCGACAAGAGTTATCAAACAGAAACTTTTGCTCATTGTCTTAAAAGAAAAAGGATTAGACATTAGAATAGGGTTTGGTTGTTGTGTTGGGTGATGTCAGAACTAAAAAGCTTGACAGCAGTTTTATCAGACAGAGCTTCAAGAAACCACCTTACTAAATAATGCCTAAGTAAAGAGTCAATATTACATACCGTACTTTCTTTAGGGACCTTCATTTTCCATATACCTCCTTTGGCATTGCTTTCCTCTTCCCTGGAAGAATAGATCAATAAAGTAAATATTCATATCCACATCTAGATAAGCCTATGTTTGAGGTTTGATTTTCCCAGGAAAACCCCATCTGAAATGCAGTTACTAACTCCAGGTAACATGACTCAAGCTGTGACTTCTGACATCAGAGACAATTCTTTCATTGTTTGTATGAGGCGTATCTCTCAACACCTAATCCCTTTCCTAAGTTTTGTGTGTTGGAAAATACCTATATTTTCCCTGACTACAGACCATCTCCGAAGTGCCTGCACCATATGGGAACAAGCCACAAAGCAATTTTATCTTTTACTATGGTAACCTTTTATTTTGGAAAAAACTCTGGCATATTTTCACAGAAGCAGCTTATTACTCTCAAGTTTATCCAGTTTAACAAAAGAACATGAGTGTACTTCATTTCAGTTTCGTGACAGCTGGAAATTAATTGCCCTTATTAAAAGAAAGGCTGAAGCTGCCCAAGGTCATGGCAGACATAACCATTAAACTGCCTCATAATGACAAAGGCACAACGTACAAATCTGTCAGCTTCAAGTTTATTCTGTCACAATTCTTTTTATAAGATTTTAAATTAAGGTTCTAGTTTTCTGTTAAATCTCTAACAGTGAAGTTTAAGGAATAACCTAAAATTCATCTTGGAAATATCTAAGCCTAGTATCAAACCTGTAGGGATTCCCGAGGGTCAATACAGACAAATGCTTGGGAAAGGAAAAACTTGAGAAGGGCATCCTCAGAAACCTGCAGTCCTCAATTCTTACCTCATAATTTGGTTTTCTTCCTAAAAAACAATGCTAGTATACTGCAACTGTAATCTGAGAAAAGCTTTGTGGCAGTAATTACTGAAAAGCGAGTGGGTTACTGAGGAGATCAATCTCTTGCAATACCTTTCCTAAAATATAAAATTGCTTTGACAGTCCTAAAACAGATGTATCATTTTTAGAAGAGGTATTTGTACTCCACACCTCTAATAGTCACTGACTCAAAACTGAAAATATAAAAAACACAACAACAAACAAACCTCAAAACATTCTTGCTCGTGCTTACAAAGATATCAAGACCTGCACAGAAGGGCCCAGTTGATTTACACACCAACATTTTTTCAAACCCAGTTTAGCTATCTCAACCAGTTACAGTATTTTTGGAAAAGTAACGTAGCCTTCCAGATGCATTTCACTTGGGAAAATTATGTAGTTGTTCAGTAGGTGAGGATAGAAGTCTCCTGTGGGAAGTCACTACGCAATCAGACATACTATGATCAAATTAAAGAACTCCAATTCAATCTCAACCTGCAAATGATGCCAAAAAGATCAAAACTCTTCAGAACATGCTTAGGCTCACTAAAATGCAATGGAACCACTCTAGGAAGAAGGTATGCAAAAAGTCTCTAAAGGAAAACATCAATTATTTATGCATTATTCCATTGCCATCCTACAACCAAGTAGGAATTTACAGCAATGAATTACTTCGTAATGCCTCAAATTAGTTTTAATCCGAGGCATGTGTGCATTTATATGCATATTAAACATACAGGTGAAGAATAGTGAAAAATCATCCATCGTTTGCATCGTTATTATGCCAGCTTCAGTGGAAAGAAAAACATTTGCAAGTTAAAAATAATTCAAATACAAGTGACATTCTGTGCATTCTTAAATTCAGTCATATTTTGACTTCTTAGCTTTTATTTCATAATTTAATTTCTTATGTTTATATTCAGAGGTGGACAATTAAATTACTATCTGTGTTTTTCAAAAAGGCTCCATAGTAGAAGACACTTTTAAAATTAACAAGATCCTAAGGGTATTTCTTTCACTGGTCTCTTGAGTTTAGGAATTCACAGGCAACAGAAAGAAGATGCTCCTGACCCACACCTGCCTTCTTCCACCATTTCAGGATTTTTTTCACCACCCATCAGAAATGCCTGGTGATAAAACACATACCAAAGCGGCCGCCTCTCTCCCCGCATTAAATGGTAGCTACACCTCAGAGGCAAATTTGTCACAGGAGGAATGTTGTTGTAGACACTCCAGAAATCCTTAAAAAGAAAAAAATACCAGTTGCATTGACACAAGAGAATAAGTTTCATGCAGATACACTTCCTTGTTCTTTTTCTTCAGAATGATTACATATCCTGCTCCTAGAGAACTGGCACCTTCTGCGTTATAATAAAATACTCTGAAAAGAACTTGCTGCATTTTCACTTTTGTTTTTTTTTTTGAAGCTATTTCTGCATAAGGTGGAGGTAGAAAGAAGGAAAGCACTTGAACTGTGGATTACTTTATAATCAAAGTGCTTAGGAATAGAGGGGGAAAAAAGAGCAATCAAAATGAGAGTTACACCAAATACGTCAGAACAAACCAGTCCATAGAACTTCCTCAGCATATTAAATATATACTTACATGAACTATCCATCTTATTTCACTTATGACTAGTCTAAAACTTCATTATTATTTTCTTGAGCTACCAAACCACCACAAACAATAATTCTGTTGAACTAAAAACCTAACTGGCAATCCAACTACTTTGTCTAGATCACAGTGAAACGTTTCAGCCAGAGAGAAAGAGCTTGAGATGCACACATTAACACAGGAACGAGGGAGAAATTAAAAGATGTGGGTTCCCAGGAACCACTGGGTAACTTCCCAGCATTTCTGCTGGCAAAAGCAGAAGCTGTCCTGCATGTTTGGGGTGGATAAAAGGCACCTAAAAAGCCATGGTGAGCAACAGGGAGGGATGACTGAGAAGATCTCAATCCCCTTTCTTCTTTATCCAACAGTTGGGAATAAGAAAGGATTTTAAGACTTAGGTTGCATCAACACGCAGTGATGCAATATTAAGCATTAATACAACTCATCTAATACTTCATCATTAGCACAACTTTAGAAACAAAGATTGCAACATTATGTGATAAAATTCTGTGGCCCTTAACAATTCTACCTACCAGCCATCACCATGAGCCAGTCACAAGAGATGGCAGACTACTAAAAATATCTAAAAAATTGGTATGAACCACCCGTTTCATCACTCATCTTACTCTTGCATGGTTGGGTGCCCATACTCTAAAGCTACTGAAGTAGAAGGAGCAGAGCTGTGCCAGCAGACGACCATGGAAAGATTCAAGAGCTCTTATGTCCTGAACCAGGGATTCAGTTTGGAAAGTTTTGGTTTTCAAACACCCTTCAAGCAGTGCAGGCTGGCGTTCCTCATTGATTAGCTACTGCCAATGAAGGACAGTGACGAAATCAGTGAAGATTTTGGATTTGCTTTGCCAAGAAAGACCATATTTTACACATGACAGCACAGTCAGACACCTTATGGGCCATGCTGCTATTTTCCCATAACCTCATTTGGATCATGAGTCTTCCCAGAGGACCTGAAGGAGTTTTTTGTATTTTAAACCCCAAACTGATGAGCAGAAAACCTCAAGTTTTTCAGCCAATAAAGCCTAATAATTTAAACAATGAAGGCTATATTCAGAGTGGGAAAACAGATAGCACCAGATAGTTGTACGGCAGTCCACAGTCTTAAGCTGCCTGTCTTTCAGCAAGAACCATTGCAGCCCATTTCAAAACAAACCCACTTCTGTCACCAACTTTAACTTCAGTGTCACTTCACTGCCTGACCAATGGGGATGTTCTGCTGACACGGACAGGCGAGACGAAACCTCTCCCAAGGGTCTGAAGAACACTTCCCTGGTTTATGCCAAAGTACTCTCACTAACAACCTTGTCTCCAGGAAACTTCAAAAGGCAATTAATTTCTTAGGTCAATTAGCTGGGAAGAAACATATCGTGTAATGTAACAAGTTGTACAGACATTAATGAGAACGTTTTATTTAAAACTTCAGTAGAAGGGCTGGGCTCCTTCAAAGAGAAGGTTTTGGCATTACCTTAGAATTTCACAGATTTAGTGACAGAGTCAGCTTAGCATTAAGGTGACAAAAACACCAATTCACTAAATTTTCACACTAAGTGTGGCAATAAAGCAGAAATGTAATTTTAATTGCAAGAGATGCCCACTGCTTGGCACTGGCAGATGACACAGGCAAGCAGAACTTGTGATTTCTGCAAGTATTGCGTGTTTTAAAAGTGCTTTAATTCACGTCAGCTTGCTAGATTTATTTTCTTTAAAAAAAAAAATTCATGCTCAAGAAAATAACCCACAAGCTGTAATTTGTAGTCTTTTTGTAATGATTTTCTGCATTAAAAAGAGAAGAGAAAAGGCAGGAAAAATATTTAAAATACTTCAAGTATAAAAAAAACAATGGAGGCATAAGTGGAAACTCAGGAAAGTTGAAGAGAAGAGAGCTTGCCTGATCGATCCAAGATACTTTCTCCTTTTCTGGTCTGGAAAGACAAACATAATCCAAATAACGACCAAGCCACACCACACAACCAATAACACTCAGGTTTCATACCACAGGTAAGCAAAGTTACAAGTATGACTCATTTGTATGAGGAAAAATGAAATTTCAGGTCTGAAGTTATATTACTAATGTGTGTAGCAACGACTACTGCAAAGCCAGACACCTTACCTGCACTGTCTGTACTGTGTAAATCTTCTTCAAATTTGATGCACATTCAGCCGCTGTCGTACCAGGAAGCGACCTTGTAAACAAAGTAGAGATTAAGAAAAATATTTATTCTACCAAGGTGAGAGAAGAGACACAGATGGGGAAAGTGAATCACATGAGTGTGAAGATGAAATAGTCCAAGTTACATAGTAAACTCCAGTTCCAATTATTGTGAATCATTTAGAGACAGGAATTCCAGTGCTGTTATACTTCTGAATAAATTAAGATTCACTATGGATTTTGTAAGATAGTTTGATTAAACAGGTGGGAGCGCTAAACCAAGCCTAACAGCTCTCCTTCCAACAGCCACCCCACACCCTTCAGCTGTATCTGCAGTTCCAGTGGGACCCCAGACTTCTCTCTAACTGCGGTTAATACCACCCAGAACCCCCCTTGGAGCGTTTGAAGATCCTCTCAGGGTTTCATACTTTTAAAAAAAAGCAAAGCACAGGCACGGAGGTTACAGAACGAACTACATCTAAGCAGCCGGAGCAGATGCCACTAGGTGGCAGAGGCGCACAGGCTGTGGGGGGCTGCGGGCACCCCCGAAACAACCTCCTCGCTATCCCCGAGAGGATGGAGTGCGGGTGAGGAGGAGAACAAGCCCCAGCAGCCAGGTCGCTCCTCCTGGGACGGTGAGCACCAGCGCACGAAGGAAACCTCCCACCTGGAGCGAGTCCTGCATCCACCTCTGGAGACCCCAGCGCAAGGACACGGAGCTGTTGGAGCAGCTCCAGAGGATGCCACAAAGCCGCTCAAGGGGCTGAAGCTCCTCGCCTACAAAGGCAGGCTGAAGGAGTTGGGGTTGTTCAGCCGGGAGAAGAGAAAGCTCCGGGGAGACTTTATAGCGGGCTGCCAGTACCCAAAGGGGGCTGAAGGAAAGCTGGGGAGAGGCTCTTTATAAGGACATGTGGTGACAGGACAACGGGCAACAGTTTTAAACTAGAGCAGGGTAGATCTAGATCAGCGTTAGGAAGTTCTTTACTACGAGAGTGGTGAGACACTCGGACAGGGTGCCCGGAGAGGCTGTGGCAGCCCCCTCCCTGGAAAGTGTTCAAGGCCAGGCTGGACAAGGCTTTGACCAACCTGGTCTATCAGGAGATGTCCCTACCCACAGTGGTGGGGCTGGAACCAGGTGATCTTTTGGGGTCCCTTCCAACCCAAACCATTCTATGATACTATGATGAAGGCAGCTCTTCCACCAGCAGCATCCATTTCTTCAAGATATGCCTACCAGCAGCACTTCCCACAAAGCCAAGAGGTCCTTGGGATGGTTTCATAGCCAGACCGCGGGGTTACACTGGTGTACACCAGGCACAGTTTAGCTTCTCCATCTGCCCCTCATATTGGTTATTCCCGTTTCTCATCCCAAGCTGCTCCCTTCAGACACACACAGCACCGACTGCACTCCATCATCTTAAAGGTCTTTTCCAACTAAATAATTCTATGATTTTATAACTTTCATCACAGCTCTTCAGTGGGTGCATCATGGCACGGTGCATCCACATCCTCATACATCACTGGCTCCTGTCACTTATAGCAGCACACCGTAACACACATTTTGCAATTCCTAGTACACGTCCCCACAGGCACAATTTGCAGGGAATGAGGTCAAAAATGCTAAGGCACATCCAATTTGTTAGAATTGGAAACACTTTCTTTTTCTTCCCTCAGAAGCTGAAGTAGGATTTCTAAAGAAAAATGAAGATCAAAGACAAAGCAGCCTCATGCTGCATCTCAGAAGAGGAAACAAAAATGTGTAAAATGACTAAATCTGGAAACAGAAGCAGCAGAGCAGATTTAAGGAAAGAGAAAACACAGTTGTTGCTCAGGTACCTGCCGAAGAAAGGATAAAAGCAAACCAGATCTCAGTAATTCTCCAATCAATGTGGCTGTTTGCCCCGATATATCTGATCCGTAGGAAATATGTCCGGGAAAACACAAAAATTACCCTCAGTTGTTACAGATATAATTCAGGCTCTGGGGCAAAAACTAGATATTCATGTAAAGGAAGAAATTTAATATGCAAAACTACTCAAACAGCATCACATCTTCAAAACTTTAATAATAGCTCCAAGGTTTTTTGAAGGCTCCTATCAAAATAAGTTTTAAAATACATCCAAAACCAGCAGAGAAATCCATCCCAGCTTCTTTATTTTAGAACAGACAACCTACTAGCTACTTTACTGTTTGCCTGTTAATCACCAGACATAAGAGTACCCTGCAACGGTGGAACTGATGAGAAAGCAGTGTTAGATGTCCAAATCTCAAAAATCGCTTTAACTAGAGGTTATAAAAACAAACGAAACCACCCCACCAAGAAACCACGATGGCACAGGTTTCTAGCCCTGTGGTTCATGAACCATGAAAACTCTCACAGAAAAAACAATAACCTGAAAACAACAAACAAAAACTTTCAGCAACATGCTCAAAAAGAAATTATCGTAGTAATGTTTGGTAGGGGGGTTGTGTTTGTGCTGTTTCTTTTTCCTTTTCCTTACACTTCACATTCATCATTGAAGAACAATAATAAATAGTTTAATTTCTCAGTATTTAACAGAAACAGAGTTAGTCAGAGGGCTTTTGATACACAAGAGAGTAGAAACTTAAAACAGCCTTTAAGACTTACCAGATGATTTAACTGCTTTTCTCAGTGGGGAGTAGAGGATTTTCAACAAACTACCGCTTGGTTTTGCCTTGTTGGCCAACAAAAGTAGCAGGTCCCTACTAACACTTAGTTTCCTATATAACAGAACAGAAACAAGCAAAATCTGAATTAACTTTGCCTCTTGTCTCACACCACAGTCCACGGAACTACCTCTCTTTGGCACTACTTCTGCCAGTTTGCTAACTTAGCAGTCACCAACACACGAGGTCACCTTCGTTGTACAACATACAGCATTGCTGCTCTCTATACTCACACTGATATTGCCCTGAGATGCTTCAATAGGAAGGTCTACTCAAAAAAAGACAAAAATATTAAAATCTATCCTCTAATGACAGCCTTCAAAGGTTATCCAGATAATCATGGGAGCTATTTAACAAATTCAATGCCATTTAAAAGAGGAGTCAAGACAGATAGAACATTCCACTCTGAGGTTATAAACGGTTCATTTCGATAGTTGCAAATAACATTTTCCAGAGAAATTATGTGACCAGCTGGCAGAAAACACCAACCGATCTGCAAATTATCTGTTTTAAAAGTTAAGGGGAGTGACCGTTTATTTCTAGTAACCTGCTTGGCAAGTGCTCCAAGCCCATAAGATTACAACACATTATTTGGCCTTTCACCCAACTCTGGAAAGTGTCAGTGATTTATAGCTATAAACATGATCTCCCAACCTTTTTATTATTAAAAAAAAAAGTACTGAAACGACTGTAGATGAAAAATTAATGACATGCACCAATTTAGAATCATTGAATGTTAGGGATTGGAACGGACCTCAAAAGATCATTTAGTCCAATCCCCTGCCAGAGCAGGGTCACCCAGAGCAGCCAAACAGGAACACATCCAGGCGAGTTTGAAAGTCTCCAGAGCAGGAGACTCCACACCCTCTCTGGGCAGCCTGGGCCAGGGCTCCAGCACCCACACAGTAAAGAAATTTTTCCTCATGTTGAGGTGGAACTTCCTATGTTCTACCTTACACCTGTCATTCGTTGTTCTATTACTGCGCACCACTGAGAAGAGATTGTCTCCTTCCCCTTGACACCCACCCCTCAGATATTTGTATCCATTATTAAAGTCCCCTCTCAGCTGTCTCCTTTCAAGCCTGAACAACCCCAGTTCTCTCAGTCTCTCTTCATAGGAGAGATGTTCAAGTCCCTTAATCATCCTCGTAGCTCTCCGTTGGACTCTCTCCAGTAGGTCCCTGTCTCTACATCTTCAGAATCTTAATGGGAGAAATTTTAATGCAATATCAAGAATAATCAAGTTGCTTAATCGGGCCAGACCCGCGGTGCAGCATCTTGTGGTAAACCCCATGGGCATCAGTTCAAAGTGGAACATGGAAACAGGAATAACCTCTGCAAAGTGAATCCTAATGCCAGCTTGCTTCACTGCTCCTTCATTATTCCAGCAAGAATAAAGAACAAAGGATACCAAGATAAATTCCATTGTTTTAGCCATGAATAAGCCTCCAGGTGGTTGTGCTTATGTTAATGTCTGATGCTGAACTGTAGCTCTTCTGTTTCCCTGCAAAGAATTAAAGATAGAAGTTTTTTCATATGTGCTCACACTGGCCTTTGTATCCCAATGGGGATCTCATCACAGCTTTAGCAGGAGCTTTAAAAGCCGCCAAGCACTTCTGAAAATACCCCTGTAAGTACTTAGCCACAACTGCTTTTGGTATAAATAAGCAAAATATTTACTTAAAAAGCATAAACTCAAAAACATGCTGTGGCAACTAAACAAATCCAGTAATCCTTTCAGAATACAAAGACTGATTTCAAGCCATCAAAGACTGTCAAAATGCATTTACCAAGTTGAACATTCTTATAATATTAACCATCATTTTTCATTGTAAGCCACCTACTCATAAGCTTTAATAGATGATCCTAGATAAATAAGACTTCGCTATAGGGAAGAAGGGAAATTATTAAGTTTAGTTTCAAATATCTGATGTGTTCAGTTATGAAGATCCACAATTATTATGAAAATGGTTCAGTTATCAGAATTTATCTACCAAATTTCATTTATTTAGAACACACCAGTATAACATGGAGAGAGAAAAATCAGCACATAAGGATAATATGTTTATGCAAGAATATTTTCACTTTCCTGGAACAGACTAATAACGTTGCATTACATTTGACAATGTTTATAAGCATATTCTTCCTCTCCCAAAGATATAGAAAAGCTAAACTATCCTTGCGATAGAAAAAAAACTACTTAAAAAGCACTGCTAGAAGTCAGGCAAGAAGACCAGGCAGGCGACGATCCTGCCAGGCGCTCTGCCCTGCTGCACACTCAGACTTCCACAGAAGCCACCGCAGCTTTGACGAGGTTTATCTAGAAATGAGACTTCCGTACTACGC